AAGCTGACCCCTTGTTCTTAGCTGCAGATGACAGAATGCTCATCAACTACTTCAAGGAGAAAGGGATTTATTAAGGGCACTCCCAGCTCAGAATCTTCGAGAAAATATGAGTGAGTGGCTTAGTGAATTACTTGGGGTTATCTAGTGGAACAATGAAATATAGAATGAGTATAGTGAAAGAATGAATATAATATAATATAATATAATATAATATAATATAATATAATATAATATAAAATGGAATCTATTAGAGTAACTTACAAGCTATTATCCTGCTAGTCCAACAATGGCTGTCTACCCGTGGACAGTCCCAGGATGCAGTAGTTCAGTCCATGAGACCGGATGTCTGAGCTGCTCTTCAGTGTACCCTGGAATCATGAAGTAGACTCCAAGGCTAGGGAAGGAATGGGCTAACAGTGAGAGAGCAAGCAGGCGGAGACCAAAAGCTTCTTTCTTCCACATCCTTTATATATCCTGGATCCTAGTTAGGGTTACCGTTGCTGTGATGAAGCACCATGTGCTGAGTGGTGGTGGCACATGCCTTTAATCATAGCACTCAGGTGGTAGAGGCAGGCAGATCTCTGAGTTCAAGGCCAGCCTGGTCTATAGAGTGAGTTCCAGGAGACAGAGAAACCCTATCTCAAAGAAAAAAAAAACTGAAACAAACAAAAATGAATGAAAGGAAGGAAGGAAGGAAGGAAGGATCATGACCATAAGAAAGCTGGGGAGGAAATGGTTTATTTGCCTTACATGTCCACATTGTAATTCTTCATTGAAAGAAGTCAGGGCAGGAATTCAAGCAGAGCTGGAACTTGGAGACAAGGAGCTGATACAGAGGCCCATGGATGGGTGCTGCTTACTGGCTTGCTACTTTTCATTATAGCTCTACATATGAGTGATTACCAATAACCACACAGCACAGTCAATACTAGGCTGCCTTGAAATCTCCTTCGCCTCTTCCATTAATCCCAAGCTCTTCAATTTAGCCTCAGGTAGATATTTTTGGACAAGGGCAGAAAGCAGCCACATTATTCTCTAAAACATCACAAGAATAGTTTCTAGGCCATTTACTAATATTTTTGTTCTCTGAAACCTCTTGAGCCTGGCCATCATAATCTATATCACTCTCAGCACCACTGTCGTCCATGTTCCTAATAGGATGGCCCAGTAAACCCCTGCTTAAAGTGCTCAATAGCTTTTCTACTCCAGTTATCCAGATCTTCCATGTTCCTGCAACAAACATCGTGGTCAGGACTGTCACAGTGAGACACATTCCTGGTACCAGTTTCTGTCTTAGTTACTGTTCTGTTGCTTTGAAGAGACTCTATGACCAGGGAAGTTCTCATAAAAGAGCACATTTGAATTGGGTTTAGTCCATTATCATCATGGTGGGGAACATGGTAACTTGCAGACAGCCACTGAAGCAGTAGCTGAGAGCTACATTCTGATCCATAGCGGGAGAGAGAGCCAGAACCAGAGCCAGACAGAGGGAGGCAGAGACAGACTCTGGGCTTGGTATGGGCTTTTGAAACCTCAAAGCCCACCTTCAGTGACACACTTCCTCCAACAAGGCCATACCTCATAATTCTTCTAATGCTTTCAAATAGTGTCACTCCCTGGTGACTAAAGTACATGAGCCTATGGGGGTCATTCTTATTCAAATCACCACATTCTACTCCAATACAATATGCGTAGCTTGAAGAGAAAGGGAGCACCAAAAGGTGTAATGGAGCTAAGTCCAGTGCTCAGGAATGTAAGAGGTTTAAAGAAAAACTGGTGCCAAATGGAATAAAGGGAGTTGTAACCTCAGAGCAACACCTCACCAGTTTGTGGAAAGGAGTTAAAGAAAAGCTTCAACCACGAAAGAAACCACCGCCAACAGAAAGCTGATATAAATGTAATTAAAGGAAGTGGCCACGTTCCAACTCCATCAAACAGTAGAACCTTGGGAGCCTTGGCCACATAGTTCTCGTTTTAGAGTCAAGGATACAAGAAACAAGTTGTGGAATCTCCCTCCATGGCTAAGAAAAGATGCTGAGGCCAGGTGTGTGTCGGGAATGTCCCTGAATGAAGGCCCAGAGAGCGCATTGTGTGAAGCTGTGAAGGTGAAGCTTGGATCGCTTTGGAGATCCCAAGATGCTGGAGATGACAGAGTTGTGGGATCCCTGCCAAGCAAAGCTGTGGTGTGGAACCAACCCAAGCGAGAGAAGTGGAGTTGGGGATCTGAAGAGTGCTTTGGCATCAGAGATGGAGACGTAGAGTTTGGAGTTTGCCCAGTCGGTTTTCAGTCTTATTTGGTTCAGTATTTCCTCACTATGCTCCCCTTTCCTCCCTTTTGGAATGGTAATGCATACCCTGTGCCACTGTATGTTAGAAGTATGTGATCTGCTTTTTTCGATTTTGATTTTGCAAGAAGCGGTAGTTGAGAGATTGCCAAGAGTCTCAGGGGAGACTTCGAACTTTGAAACAAAGTTGAGACTGTAAAATTGGACTGAATGCATATTTTGCATTCTGTGATAGCTACCAGATTATGGGGGACAGAGAGTGGAATATAGTGGTTTGAATAAGAATGTCTCCTATAAGTTCATATAGTTGGATGCTTAGTCACCAGGGAGTGACACTATTTGTAAGGATTAGGAGGTGTGGTTTTGTTGGAGGAAGCATGGGGGTGGGCTTTCAGGTCTCAAACACCCATGCAAAGCTCAGAGTCTCTCTCTCTCTCTCTCTCTCTCTCTCTCTCTCTCTCTCTCTCTCTCTGCCTATGGATCGGGATGTAGCTCTCAGCTACTGTTCCAGCAATTTCCTTCATGTCACCATACTCCCTACCATGATGATAATGGACAAAACCTCTGACACTGTAACCAAGTTCCTGATTAAATGCTTTCTTTTATAAGAGCTGCCTTGGTCATGGTGTCTTCTCACAGCAGAAGAACAGTGACTAAGACCTGCTAGAAGATGTGGTCCACATTAAAGGTGGACCTTCCCACCTCAGAAGATCCAGACTGAAGGTGGATCTCCCCACCTCACATGATCTAATTAAGATGAGCCGTCACATGAGCAATGGCATTGTGCAATGGGACCATCATGCAAGCTGCCGCTATGACTGTAGTGTTTGAGAACCATGGCACCTCTGTCTGCCCCAAGGTCCTTTTCATGCTTTTCAAGGTGCAGCTTGGAATCAGTCTCAGGAGTATGTTTCTGATTGGTTGGACCTAAATTCTCTCCAGAGCCTTAGCCTCAAAGGAGTCTAGGAAATGTAGTCTTTAGTGTGCCTGCTTCTGTAGGACAGATGGGAGAGAAATGACAAGGACATAATCGCTACATTTGAGATGCTCACCATTTGGAAGGGCCATAGACCGGAGGCAGATTATGATAATATGATGTTATTTGTTCTAATGAAGATACAGTGTGTAGAGCTGTAGTGCCTGTGCTAGCAGACGGTACGCGAGCCTCGGGAAAGGGGCCTGGAGATTTAAAAACACACGTACACAGACAGACAGAGACATGGGGATATGGGTCATCCTTGATACAAGAGTGCCAAGAATACCCACTTTATTGTGCTCACGGACAGCTTATATTGGGCTTCGGCCATGCCCCAGCTCTTGAGATCTTTCAGCTGCAGACTCATCAGAACCCATTCCCCTGCCATCAGGGTCTCGTGCTCAGAGCAGCTGCAGGCTGCTCAGAGCAGAGGAAAACAAGTTGTTCACAGGAAATTCAAGGTCTGGTGGTCCGAAGTCCTCAACATAGAGCCCAGGGGCAGGGGCCACATGAGTACCAAAGGCGCAGACCTTTGATCTAGGTTCTGAAGCTGAGTTTGGAGAGAGAGAGAGAGAGAGAGAGAGAGAGAGAGAGAGAGAGAGAGAGAGAGAGAGAGACTCAGAAACAAGAGGAGAATGAGTTTGATGTTAAAGAGATCCTCAATTCCTCGTTCTTAAGAGCTCTGCTTAGTTCTTTTATGACATAAAGATATGGAGCCAATTTGTTTTGGAACTAGGAGACAATCCATTAAGTAGAACATTTCTTGTCTATTTTTGTGGCCTTGAGCACATTAGGCAAACATTCTACTCTCATACTCTTGTCTGCAACATTGGCTTGGCAATAGGGTGCATATGTGGTAGCTGCTGCCATGGTTGGAAGATGCTAAGACATGCTCCAAGGATGCCTACATTTCCAGCACTTTCCAGTTCTGGCTCTGTGATGGCTCCAGGTGCCTCTTTCACTTGTGATTCTCGAGGGTTACCTGTTAGGAGACTACTGACCCCATGGTTAGTGCGGCAGTCCGTATACCCTTTTTGAATCATGACTGCTGCTGTCTTGGGATCCCACATTCCTGGCTCCAGTAGCTCCAGCTACAGAACCACCTTGGAAGTGGGAGAGACCCATGAGGAAAGGATCACCTGGCTTCTGCCCAGGAAGGTGACTCTGGACTCTAGGGCTGTGGGTATACCAGCTCTTGTGGTAAACAGATGGGGCAAGAGTGGTCATGTCTCCGAGACAGCGTGGCATGAACAAGAACAGTGAGGGAGCAGATGGGAATGGAAATGCTTTGTAAATGGAAAAATCTGGGGCAATCTGAGCTCTGCCTGTGTCTGTGTCATAGGACGTTGTCTTAAGAGTCGGAGAAAGACAGAAAGGGCAAGAAATGATGGGGTAACTCACTGCTTGCCTCCCAGATTGGCTGCTGGGTGCTGCCGGTCTCCCACTCTGTCTGATCAGAGTGCTTAAAGCCCACCCCCTCTCCTCCCTCACAGTTTTACAATGAAGCCTGTGGCCACCTTTCAGTGTTGGCCCAAGGGGGCTTTGTTCCTATACGCGCTTATAGTGCAGTATGGTTGCTCCTACCTGGAGCCAGCACCCTACTGGGTCCTGCGATGGGGTGGGTTGGTTGGTTTTATTTGTTGGACTAGGATGAGCTCCTTCTCACAGAAGGACCCATGGCGGGGCCTAGAAAACCCGGGCTGCTTCTCTGTGTAACCTTTGTCTCTGTTGGTTCTCAGGTACTTTGAATTTTACAAGGGGCCTTTAGAATTTAACTCCACAAGATGCCTGGAGCTGAGGCAGGAGATCCTGGACGTGAAGGTGCTGTCCATGTGAGTGTGCTCTGCCTGGGCTGGGAGTGGTACAAGTCGCATGTGGAGGTGGGGTGGGGTGAGTAGACCCCAGAACCGAAGGGGACGAGAAACACAAAGTAGACATCATAGCCTGGAACTCAGACCTTCCACTGGCATTAGAAGGCCCTGGAAGCTGTTTGGTCACCAAGGCTAGGTTTGCAAGGTCACCTCTGCTGATGGGGTGTGAAAGTCCCCAGCTCAGTTACCAGCCGCCTCAATTATCATTGCAGGGCTCCTGTTGGGTAGAAACCTAAGAGGCCCTGGACTGTCAGACCTGAAATTCAGTGTTTTGTATGGTCGGGGTAAGCCTGGCCCACTTGATGCTGTCTTTGACAATTTTAATTTCTTTGAAGGTTTTGATTTGTCAATTATTTAAGTGATGAAAATCCAAGTGTCACAAAATGTTACGCAGTGAAGTATCTCTCTCTCACCCCGTTCTAGTTCCTGAAGGTCTAGGGTAGCCTTGCAGCATGTCGGTGCACAAGCAACATCTCTGTGTGGAGATTCCTTCAACACACTGCTATAGAAATGGCAAAGGAGCCTCCCCATCCCATCCCACCCCATCCCATCCCATCCCATCCCATAGTCCATCATCTGCAGTGCTCCTCCAGCCGGTGGGAGGAAGCCCTGAGCCTCACAGCTGGCCGTTCACTTCAGTCTTCTCAGACTCCCCGGAAGCCAGCAGACCTACCTGGGGTGTCTGGATGATAGTTATGCCAGGGTCTGAATGTATTTAGAAACAATTACATCTGGACGTGGACAAAATAAAATTTATACGGAGGTAATGTTAGATACTTATCTGGACACATGGCCCTCTGACATGATCCCAAGGACTCTGCCCATGGCTGGCAGTCAGAAGCCAGGTAGTGTGAGTCACGGAGAAAGTATAGGCTTTGGGTTCAGGCAGACCTGGGACTGAAAGCTAATTTTGGGCTTTGCCAGCTCTAATTATCAGGCAAATAAATTACTTAATTTCTCTGAGCCTTTCCTAACTTATAAAATGGACGCGGCGTTACCTACTTCTTAGGCATTGCTGCCGACTGGTGGAAATAGTTTGTAAAATAGATAGCAGGCGCCCACTGGGGGGCTGCGGTGGGGCCGGCAGTGGCACTCAGTAGGTGTGGATATTCCACTCTCTTTCTTTCCGTTCCTCTCTCCTATGGCAACAGCAGTCTTTCTGAGTTTGCCACAGAATCTGCACCAGCGAACTTTCCATCACTAGAGTGAATATATAATGAGGTAATAACTTGGAGATTGTTGTGCCCATGTCACTGAACCCCAAATGAACCCACGGAGCCGATTTCTGATGCAAAAAACCACATTTTTTGTTTAACAAATTCGAGTGAGGACCACACTCTTCCAACACATTAACTCAGTGGGCGAGGAGAGAGTAAGCCCCGGGCTGGGGAGAGGAGAGTTTTTAAAGGGGAACAGCTGCAAGGAGGGTGGATACATGTTTTGGGGTCTTGGGATTGGGCGAAGGGGGTACAGAGTAAGATGATTTCTGAAATCATTGATCAAACTTTGGGCGCAAACTGTTAACCAAGGACCATAAATGGCTGTCAAGATGTCTGTGAGGGCTAGGGTGTCTGCAGAAAACATCTGGGCCTCGTTAAATTTTATGACCTGCTCCTTAGCTCCCTAATTGGCTATTTCTAGAGTAAACTTTCAAATTTCACTATCGCAGCACATTCCTGGACCTGAGGTAGGCTCCCAGTCACCATATGGCTTAGGATGAATCCCCTTCTTTAAAATGGAGTCTGCAAAGTCAGGTCCTCACAAGGTGAGCAGGCCCGTTGTTTTGGTGGCTGTGCTGAGGCGGAAGCATGCTGTCGCAGGGAGCAGGAGGGAGAGCAAAGCTGCTGTCTTCATGACCAAGCAGAAAGAGAAAAAGACCAGGTTCCCACTGGTCCTTCAAGGGCCAGTCCTAATGACCTTGAGACCTCCCACATGGCCTTGCCTCCTAAAAGTCCCTCACCCTCCCCATAGCACCACCCTGAGAAACAGCCCTCAACGCAAAAGCTTTTAGGAGATGCGTAAGGTCCAAACTAGCAGCCTCCATATGCAGCTGCTGAAAGTCCCAAGAGTAAGGCCTTAGATAGCCCAGCTGGATTATCTATATTGGCTATGGCCCTGTCATGATTGGTGATCTATGTGCCCTTTCTAGAGATGAATGAAGCTACCTTCTGCTGTGTGCTGTTCATTGCACTGAGTATGCACCGCTGTGGTCGCAGCTCTCAGGAAATCCATCGACCAATGGGGAAATAGACATGAGTAACTCTAAGGAGACAAACTCTTAGGGTAGTGGGGAACTTGACCAAGGGTGGGTGATGCCAGGCAAAGGTTTGCTAAGGAAGGGTGGAGAGAGTTCTGGTCTGTAGGGTGATAGTTGTTAACTAGGCTAAGAAGATCCCAAATGGGCCAATCCATATGAGGTCTTGAAACAGGAAGGATGCTGCTGGGTCCTGGATGTGCAGGACCAGAGCAGCTGTGGGTCAGCATGTGAGGGGAAGATGGAAGCAGTGGCACCATAGGAGTCACCTAGATCCTTTCCTGAGGACCTTGGGACCCTGTGGATAGGATTTGAGGCAGTGCCTAGGAGTGTGGTCTGATAGATGTTTTGGAATGCTTCCAAGGAGTTACATGACAACGCCTACCCAGACCTTAGTTGGGAGCTTAATTCGGAAGCAGAAGGTCCCTGATTATCTTTTCTCAGAATTAAAATATTTGAGGCCTTTACATGCTTGACTGGGATCCCAGAGAGTTCTTGTTGGCAGTATTTATTGGAGTTTTCAAAGGAAGAACAGTTAACTTTTAAATTAGAAAATGTATAATTTCTTCACGGGCACTTCAAGGTCTGGACTGAAAGTGCCGAGGAAGCATGTAAACTGTCTTCATGACTTCTCATCCTTCTACCTCCAGATCTTCTGTATGATGCTGTTGTGCCCCACATCAGTTTTCTGGGGCCACCACCACAAAATTCCAAGTCACTTAGTTTCTTTCTTTTTTCCGTATGTGTATGCTTTGGAGGCTAGATGTTGAGATATCAAGCATCATCCTCTATTGCTCTTCCATCTTTTTCATTGAGGTGAGAGCTCTCATCAAGCCCAGAACTCAGTGGTATGCCTAGTCTTGCTATCCCACGTGTTTTTGGAATCCTCCATCTTAGCCTTCTGAGGCTGGAATTACAGGCAGTTAGTCCACTGTGCCTAACCAGCATTTTCTGAATTCCACTCTTCATGCTTCCAAGGAGGTGCTCATCCTGCTAAGCCATCTCTTTAGCCCCGATGAGTCATTTTTCCTCCCTGTTCTGGCAGCAGGAGAATAAAGAACAGGGGTCCTAGGGCCTCCCTTTCTGATTCACTCATGGCCATCCTTTCACCGTGTCTTTGTCTTACATCTCACGCTCTTCTTACAAGAACACCAGTCATCCCAGACCAGGGCTCACTCAAGTGACTTCATTCCTGTCTAGTTTAGATTTTACAGACCCCTTCCCCAAATACAGTCACACTGAGGTTAGGACTTCCACATGTGAATTTTGGGGAGACACAATTCAGCCAATAAAACAGCTGTATCCTGTTACAGCTGATACTTAGAGACCAGGTGAGAAATTACCAAGATACTTTGGTTTGAACCTACAGATGAAGACTTGCGGGGATGTGAAGAGCAATCTCGGATTTCCCTTGTAACTATTGTCCCTTGTAACTAGAGGTTTCTCTCCCACCCCCCAGTTCACGAGTAAACACTGAGAGGCTTAATAGTTGTTACAAAGTGTTTGGCCTATTAGCTCAGGCTTATTATTCACTAGCTCTTACATCTTAAACCAACCCATTTCTGTTAATCTATGTATTGCCACGTGGCTGTGGCATTACTTCACATCTTGCTTCTCTGGCAGCTGCTGGCATCTCTCTAACTCCGCCTTCTTTTTCCCTTTATCTTTGCTTGAGTTTCCTGCCTGGCTATTGGCCAAATCAGCTTCTTTATTAACCAATGGTGATAAAACATATTCACAGCATACAAAAGGGCATTCCATATCAGTAGATCATAGGCTCTTTTTTGGTGATGTATTGGTCTTTTCACAGTTGCATGAGTTCTCATCTGTCCTCAGGATACCTTGTCTCACTCCTCAGGATGGACTCCTGGGATGAATAGCAATCCCAACTGGTAACCTCAGACTTAGTCTTGTTAGGATCTCTCTTCCATGACAGCTGTCTCATCTGGGGACTTGAGTTGTAGAAATATAGGAAGGAGTACAGGCCAGACTAGGCCATCCACAGGGTATCAGTCGTATCAGTCCGTGGTGTGTCAGGCAATGGCAAGCCCAGTGCCCCCCTTCCTGGGTAATTCCTAAACTGAGGGTTACTGAGGGTTTGTGGTCCTCCATGGGAGATGTCAGAGAGCTCAGAGGCTGGCTTCTGTCCAGGTTATTATCTGGGCACTCTCAGATTTTGCTGAGTTCTAGCCTCATCCCACAACCTGCATCACAGCAGGGCTGACCTGAATAATAGGGAAAAGGTCAAATCCCTTCTGTGGATGGAGGAAGCTGGGTGGAGGGAGGCATGTTCCTTCCGGCACACAGAGTGTCAACGGGTATTTTGTCTGAGGACACAAGAAGATGTGTGATTCCCATAGAAGTATTTTTGATCCAAAATTTCTCAAATCAACTGTAAAAATCAGTCAGCCAGAAACCTCCAGAGGGAGAGTGCCCTGCTTCCTGACAGTGTCTGAGGCACCACGAATCACTCTGAGATTATTTGTCAGGACAAGGTCCGTTGCTGATTCTTGTTCAAATTATTTATGTCTGATTCTAGTCATTTGAGTGTCTCTGTTTTTAAAGGCAAACCTTCAGGTGCTGCCCATGTTCCACCCACATGGGGGGTTTGCTTGAGAACTCCTGTGGCAACCTGTCTGGCTTCCTTCCCTTTCCTTCTGGGCTGACTTGGTGCAGAGCCCAGCAATGAGGCCAAACAGAGCGGCTA